GGTGGGTGTGAGGGGGAGCTGAGGCAACTCTGCGGCAGGGCAGCTGAGGTGGGTATGAGAGGGAACTGAGGCATGTGAGGGACAACTGAGACAGATATGGATGTGAGCTGAGGCGGGTATAAGGGGCGAGCTGAGGTGGGTATGAGAGGGAGCTGAGGTGGCTGTGAGAGGGAACTGAAGCAGGTGTGTGGGGAACTGAGGTGGGTGTGATAGAACTGAGGCGCTGTGAGGAAAATGAGGGAGGTGAGACGGGGGAGCTGAGAGGGGTGTGTGAGGGGGGATTGAGGTGGGTGTGAGAGGGGAACTGAGGTGGTTCTGAGGGGGAACTAAGGCAGTTGTGGAAAGCTGAGGTGGGTGCTAGGAGAGAGCAAGGCGGGTGTCGGGGAACTGAGGTGGTGTGAAGGGGCAGTTGAGACAGGTGTGAGGGGAGACCTGAGGTGTGTGTGTGAAGGGGAGCTGAGGTGGGTGTGAGGGAGGACCTGAGGCATGTGTGAAGAGGAACTTAGGTGGGTGTTCAAGGGGAACAGGTAAGTGTGAGGAGGAAACTGAGGAGGGTGTGAGGGGGAACTGACGTGGATTTGAGGGGGGAACAAGTGGAGTTGGGGGGAGCTGATGCAGTGTGAGGTGATGCAGGCAATGTGCATGGAAGGAATGGCAGCTCGGGGGTGCTCAGGCAACCCCCAGACACCCCCTCTGCTCTCACCCAAGTTTTCAGGAGGCCTGCTTGCCAGAGTGCAGTGTGTGTGGGAATCGTGGGTCTCCCCACTCCGGGCTGCAAACTCTGGCCTAGCACAGTCAGGGCAGCACGATGGGAGGGAAAACCTGCTTCCTGCATGCAGGAAGCAGGCTGAGGGGTGATGACAGAGGAGGTGAGGGAATGCCGAGGTTCAGGATTGTCTTGTGGGCAGCCATATCCCCCATTCACCCCAACAAGTTCAGGGGATGGGGTGCTGTGTGGCGTGGGAGGTGGAGGTAAAATCGAGTTCCTGAGTCGGTGTCCCGGCTTGTTGGTCTCTTGTGGGGCTAATGAGCTGGGCTGTGGGTACCCAAGACAGTCTGCGGAGCTTAGGGTGTGCAGTATGAGCCTGGGCCACCTCCCATCTGAGGGGTGCAGCCTCCTGGCTCTCTTCCTCAGGGCCAGAGGCCCAGGACTGAAGAGGCACACTTGGGCCCTGATACTAGGCCTCGAGCGGTAAGAGGGATGGTGCTGGCGCTCTCAGGGTTTGGTTTTCAGTGAGAGATCTGACTGAGAAAGAATGCAGAGTACCTTCAAGGGCTATTCTGCGGTTAAGATGTGGTCAATGTGGGTTTCTGGCCCTGCGCAATCACACCAGAGCTCTGGAATGTTCCAGACCTCTGAAGTGTCACCTGGCACTTCTGTTTTCCTTCCTGATTTGGAGAGCAAGACTAACAAGCTTAAGAAAGATTTTTACAGACTTAAACAAAGGGATATTAGAGTATGTTTCTGAGCTAGTCTGACATTGGAGCCTGACAAGATGTCAAGGTGATGGAGATGTCCCTGTCAGGATGGAATACCCCGTCAGGATGATGGTGGTGTCCCTATCAGGGTGTTGGAGGCGTCACCTTCATTACCTGTCAGGGTAATGAAGGTGACGCTGTCAGAATGAAGGTGTCCCTATTAAGGTGACAGAGGTAACTCTGTCAGTGTGTTGAAGGTACCTCTGACAGAGTAATGGAGGTAGTAGCTGTCAGAGTTTGGAAGTAACCCTCTCAGAATGATGAAGGTGTCTCTGTCAGGGTGACGGAAGTGACCCTGCCAGTATGATGGAAACATGTCAGAGTGATGGAGGTGTTCTGTCAGAATCACTTGATCACTTGACTTCCCATTAATTGTCGATTTGCTAGAGCGGGCGCCAGTAACGTCTCCATTTGTCCCTGTCACGTGCTAGTGTAGCCCAATGGTGTCTGTTCGTTCTAGGAACACGAAGAGCCTCAAACCATTTTATTGGCCTCTTCTTTCTCATCCTTCACAATGCTGCCATATTGGTGATGCCTTCAGGGTCAGGGGAATGAGACCCATTGTAATTACTGGTTTTGGCATATCAAATACACAACGGATAGCTTGCGAGGCTCTGCCGTGCGGGCGGAATACTCTCAGTAGCTTGCCAGGCTCTCCGAGAGGAATAGAGGCTTTTGGGGCGGCCTCTAATTGCCCTTGTAGGTGTTACCATGGTTCAAAATGTATTTGAACACTATCAAATAAAATTTGAGCACTATCAAATCAGTCAGTCTCTGTCAGAATGATAGGGGTATTTCTGTGAGGATCTTGGTATCCTTTTCAGAGTGTTGGAGGCATCCCTGTGAAGGTGATGAAGGTGACCCTGTCAGGGTGATGGAGGTACCTCTGTCAGGGTAACGGGAGGGGTCCCTGTCAGCGTGATGTAGGCTTCCCTGTCAGGGTCATAAAGGCATCCCTGTCACAGTGACAGATTTCGTCAGGGTGATGGAGGCATCCTTATCAGGGTGGTAAGACCTCCCTGTCAGGGTGATGGAGGTGTTGCTGTCAGAGAGGACCCTTGCCTATCTGCCTGTAACACTGGGACCGAGATCCGCTGTGGTCTTTTTCTATGGAGTTCGGAGCCGTCAACTCCAGTTTCTGGGTTCCTGTTGAGAGAATTTGAGAGTGTAACTGTCCAGGTGCCTGGCATGTGAGGGTCAAGTCGGTGGTCCCACCTCCTATATGAGGGGTCTGCAGCCCAGGCCGGGAAACATCCATGAGAGCAGAACACCGCCCCTCCCCCAGGCATTCCCCAGCCCTCATGCACAGACACGTGCCTGCCTTGCCACAGGCACCTCCAGGAACGCCTCTGGCCACCACAGCGTGTGCGGCTGTTGTGAATGTTCTAGCTGTCCAAATGCAGGAAACTGGGAAGCAGGCAAAGGTTCCTAAAGGGCTTCTAGGCCCAGGACAAACTACGCAGAAACCCTGGCAGCAGAAATGCGTGTGTGTGTGCATGCGCGTGCGCACACACGCGCGTGAGGCCACCCCTTCCTCTGCCGTCCTGCCCTTCCCAAAGGACTTGGGGGTATTGCCCACACTAGCCTGGCCGCTGGGGGGTGCTGGGTCCGTTTACCCAGGAAGGTGGCGACCCATGTTTCCAACGGCTTCATGTTTTGCAATCCTGCGGGCCTTTCAAAGGTTACGGCTGACCTGGGCTGGGACTGGTGGGTGTTTGGGGAGCAGGGTGTTTGAGGGACCCCTTTGAGTAACATGGCCTTTACTCCCTGGGGAAGAGCTTCCCCCGCCCCTCCGGCCAGGGGAAGAGGGAGGGCAACCAAGTTCCTGGTTTTCTTGCTCTTCAAACAGGACCATGGGGTGCAGGAGCCGGGAAGGAGAGGAGTGGGGGGCAGTAGTTGGGAGGAGGCCCACCCTCACGGCTGGGGCGGGGCCAGGGCAGTGGCCCAGTGTTATTGAAACGCTCGGGCAGGTCCAGGACTGTGCACGTCCTTGGAAGTTTTTCCAAAACAAACTGACCCATGGCCACCCGGAGAGCAGGCATTGGGCAATTCGCAGTCAGCTGGCCACCAGCGTCACGACAGGCACGCAGGCTTCCGGAATTGCCCGGCCAGACCAGCCCCCTCTAGGTATGTGCCTGCAGGTATACAGGACACACACACGCCCGCAGCGTGCGCGCGCACACACACACACACCTGCTCACGGCACAGACACGGACACAACAGACAGGGAGGCACATGCACACACCTGCCCACAGCACACACACACGCACACACACCCACAGAAGACACGCACACACACACGCACACACCCACCCACGGCACACACACGCGCACCCACAGCAGACACACACGCATACACCTGCCCACGGCACAAACCCGCCACTGCGGACAGACACGCACACACCACCCACACAGACACACACCCACCCACAGCACACAGACACATGTGCATGCACTGTACACACACCACACATAATTGACATGAGCACACATGTATGCAGCATGTATGCACACATACACCTGCACACGGGACTTGTCAGTCGGTTTCGTCTGTGCTCTGGGCTTCCCCACCTCCTTCAAGGACTAGTGCTTTGAATTTAACTCTGGGACAAATGGTCTGAGGCTAGACGCAGCAGCCGGCCCGCGTGCTAGTGTTTAGGAAACACCATTTGCTGCACCCTCTGTCTTCCCTCCGGCGAGCGGGTTTCTGGAGAGGCAGGAAGGGACGGGAAGTGAGCAGCAGCAGCGATGGAAATAGTCGCCCACGGCTGTCCCTTCCACCCCCGCCCCGCTCCCCTAGCAGGAGGTGGGTGTGCGCCCCCCTGGGGGAGGTGAGAGGTGCCAGCGTGGGTCCCTGAGCGCTGTCCACGGGGTGGCCCTAGGGGTGGGGTCAGGGGGCCGCTCCTCAGCCGGGACCCGTGACTGGGAGGTTGATTTCGGCTGTGTACAGGGCTCACTTCTGGTGGCCACAGAGGGGCACGTTGGGGTGCTGGGCAGCGGGGTCCTGCGATGGGCCCGCGTGGCCAGCCGGGGCCTTTCCGAGGGCGCCCGGCAGGGGGCGCGCGCCGGTGGCGCGAGGGCGGCGGCAGGCGCCGGCGTCCCTGACGTCACCGCCCCGCGGTCGCCATGGCGACAGCCTCATCAGCACGCGCGTCAGAGCCGCCAGTCTCTTGGCAACCGCCCGATCTCCCGCTTTCCCTCCGCCTGGCGCTGGGCCGCGCGTCGCTCTGGCGTCAAAGCGACGTCAATGGGGCCGTATCAGCCGGGCCTCGGCGGCGGCGGCCCGGGGGCGGGGCCGGCCCGGAGGGGCGGGGCCTCTTCCGGAGGGGCGGGGCAGGAGGCGCGGTCTCCGCGCGGGGGCGTGCCTGGAGGTGTGGTGCCCGCGGGGGGCAGGGCCAGAGGCGTGGTCTCCGCGCGCGGGGCGTGTTCGGAGGCGTGGTCATAGCCCGCAGGGGCGTGCCTGGGGCGTGGCCTCCGTGCGCGGGGCGGGGCCGGCGGCGGCGGCGAGCGCGCCCGCGGGCCGGGGCTGACATGCGGCGCGGCCCGGGCGGCGGCAGCAGCGGCGGCGGCGGGAACTCGAGCGGCGACGCGGGCCGAGGGGGCGGCGGCTCTCGCGGCGGCCCAGCCCCGGCGCTCCGAGGTCGGCGAGGCGGCGGCGGGCCGGGGGCTGCCGGGGCTCGGGGCTCGGGCGGGCCCGCAGGGGCGCGCGCGGGGGTCGCGCCGGAGACGGCGCCGTTGGCCGCCCTTTGTTGTGGCCGGGCGGCGGGGCGGCCCGGGACCCGCGGTGCAGGGCGGTTCCGACCGCGCGGGGCGGGGCGGTCCCTGGACGGCGGTCCCAGGACCCAGGGCTCGGGACGGTCCCAGGACTCGGGGCTCGGGGCGGTCCCGGGACCCGGGGTTGGGACGATTCCGACCGCGCGCGGCGGGGCTGTCCGGGGACTCGGGTTCTGGGAGTCCGGGGTTCGGGGCGGTACCGGGATTCGGGATTCGGGGCGGTCTGGAGACCCGGCGTTCGGGGCGGCCGGGGTTCGGGGCGATCCCGGGATCTGGGGTTCGGGACGGTACCGGGACTCGGGGTTCGGGGCGTTCCCAGAAACCGAGACCCGGCGTTCAGGGCGGTCCCGCGTTCGGGGCGGTCCGGGTTCCCGGGTCGGGGCGGTCCCGCGCCGCAGTGCGGGCGCGGGGAGGGTGGGCGCGGCGGCAGGGGCGGCTGTGCCCGGCGCTGAGTGTCCCCCCCGCCCCGCAGGTGTCCTCCAGCATGGTGACCATGGCCGAGCTCAGCACGGCGCCCGCCGGCCAGGGCCAGCAGAAGCCCCTCCGCGTGGGCTTCTACGACATCGAGCGGACCCTGGGCAAAGGCAACTTCGCGGTGGTGAAGCTGGCCCGGCACCGGGTGACCAAGACCCAGGTTCGTGGGCGGATCAGAATAACCCGCCGCCTCGCCCAGACGTTTATTTAACTCGGACTATTTTAAGGAACGCTCTTGGTTACTTTGGTTATTTTCTCCCCTGACTTTCTGACCCTGGGGGGGGGGGGGGGCATGAAGTGCTTCAGAAATCCCCCTAGGGGAGATCGAGGCTTGAGGGGCTCAGCTGTCCCTCTCAACACAGGCTCTGTTCTCCCCAGGTGGCGATCAAAATCATCGATAAAACACGCCTGGATTCAAGTAACCTGGAGAAGATCTACCGCGAGGTGCAGATCATGAAGCTTCTGAATCACCCTCACATCATAAGGCTGTACCAGGTGAGGCCTGGCGACAGGGCGTCTTCTGAGCTGTCTCGCGTCCACAGTTCCTTTCCCGCTTCTGGAGGGCTGATTCACTGCCGCTCCGTTTAGCGTGTCTGCCCTTGAGTCTGGGCTGCTCCTTTGCACATCTGCCTCTGGACCACTGTCCTGCTCGGGAACCAGTGGCTCAGGCGGTTCTGGTGCCGTGATCCTGCAAAGGCCGCGGCCGACCTGTGTGTCTGGGTCTAGACTGTCCCCTCATCAACGGGGACGGGGGACACCCTGTCCTCGGGCCGAGTGCGACATTGGTGGCCAGCCCGCATGGGGGCGGCCCTTGCCCACTGGTTTTGTGGCCTTGGCGTGGCTATTCCCCTTGAGACCGAGAAGTCATGTCTTTGGGCGGTGAGATCTGAACCCGTCCCACCGGGGACAGCGTCCCGTCCTTCCGCATCCCCAGAGTCAATTGGGCGGAGGTGCTGGCTTCCCCGCCCGGCCCTCTGCAGGGTCCGTGAGCGTGCCGGCCTGCCTGGCCCGACACCCACGTCAGCAGCGCCCACTCTTGTTTGCTTTCTGCTGGCATGCGGCGCTGTCCCTCTGATAAGGCCTTTCCTCTGTGGCCACTGAGGTCAGAGGCGGGGCCTCCGCTGCCCTCCCCGTCCACCCGCCCGCCTTCCTGTCCCTCCGCTCGCCCATTGTGTGGAGGTGGCCGGTGCCTGGGCTCCCGGGCCTGGACTATGCCACTGGCCCTGGGTTCCTGCTGCCTGTGTCCAGCCAGGTCCAGCTGGGTGGGGGTCTGGAGCACACTGCCTGTCTGACAGCTGGCCCAGGCCCCAGAGGGGACACTGCCCTCTCTCCTAGAGGGCTCCCATCTCCTCTGGAGTGGGGGAACGGGTCGGCTCCCCACGAGCCGGGCGGGGCCCTGAGCGTTCCTGCACTCGCCGTTCTGGTTTGCTCCTGGGCCTCAACGGCAGCCGCCCTGGGAAGCCCCAAGCCGGGCCTCCTGTGGACGGCTTATAGCCCGTGAGTGGGTCTCACCCACCTTTCGCCGCTTCAAGGCTGTTGGACACGAGAGTGAAACTCCCGATCCGCTCAGCAGCCTTGAGGCCGTCAGACCTCAGCCAAGCCTGTCACCTGTCAGGACAGCTGCCCCACGCCCGCCATCCCAGCCCCCTTTGTGGGGTGCGGGGCAGTCGGGCAAGAGCAGAGAGCAGGACACAAGGTCTCCGGGGTCTCGGCCAGTGGCCCCAACTGCTGTCCCCTTCCTCTCCCAGAGGGAGAGCTAGCCGCCCCCCTCTTGGGCACTTAAACGGGGTCTCCTTCCTGTAGGTGATGGAGACCAAGGATATGCTGTACATCGTCACCGAGTTTGCCCAGAACGGGGAGATGTTCGGTAAGGGCCCTCCTCTGGGGCAGCCCCCGGCCCGCCCATGCTAGCCCCTCCCCGGCCCGGGTGCAGGCCTCTCTCTCTTCTCTCTCTCGCCCCCAGACTACCTGACCGCCAACGGGCACCTCAGCGAGGACGAGGCCCGGAAAAAGTTCTGGCAGATCCTGTCGGCCGTGGAGTATTGCCACAGCCACCACATTGTCCACCGCGACCTCAAGACGGAGAACCTGCTGCTGGACGGGAACCTGGACATCAAGCTGGCAGGCAAGGGCCCTCCGCAGGGAAGAGCGTCCACGGCCTCCCGGGGCTGCCCGCAGCGTCTCACTCCTTCCCTTGTCTCTCAGATTTCGGTTTTGGGAACTTCTACAAGCCGGGGGAGCCCCTGTCCACGTGGTGTGGGAGCCCCCCCTACGCCGCCCCGGAGGTCTTCGAGGGCAGAGAGTACGAAGGGCCCCAGCTGGACGTCTGGGTAGGAGCAGGGGTGCTGCTGGGTGAGCGGGAGGTGGGCGGTGGGTGGCCCCCATCACAGTGGGTTGGGGGTTGGGTTGGGGGTGGGCCAGCCGTGCCTGTCCGGGGTGCTGAGGACTGTCCGGTCCCCCCCCCCTCCCGCAGAGCCTGGGCGTGGTGCTATACGTGCTGGTGTGCGGCTCGCTGCCCTTTGACGGGCCCAGCCTCCCAGCCCTGCGGCAGCGCGTGCTGGAGGGCCGCTTCCGCATCCCCTTCTTCATGTCCCAAGGTGGGTGTGTGCCGCGGGCACTGGGTGGGCGCCGGGCAGGCATAGGGGAGCATGGGCCAGGTCCAGCACGGCTGCCTGGCAGACCTCACCCTGGGTAGGCCGTGCCTAGTTCCGGGCGCCTCGCCCGGCCCCCGCCTGCTCCCTGCCCCCCAGTGAGAGGGACCCTGCCCGGGGCTGTTGGGGGGAGCGGGGGCCCTGCCCGGCCGTGAGCTCAGCCCGCCTCCCTTGCCCCCAGACTGCGAGAACCTGATCCGCCGCATGCTGGTGGTGGACCCCGCCAAGCGCATCACCATCGCCCACATCCGCCAGCACAGGTGGATGCAGGCCGCACCCCCCCTGCCGCCCGCCGGGGCCCCGCTCGCGGCCCTCAGCTACAGCTCCAACCTGGGCCACTACGACGAGCAGGTGCTGGGGCTCATGCAGGCGCTGGGCGCCGACCGGCACAGGACGGTGGAGGTGAGCCGCCACCCAGCCCCGACACAACCCTGCCCCCCGCCCGCACCCCTGCCTCCCCCCCCCCGCACCCCTGCCTCCCCCCCATACTCCTGCCTCCCCTGCCTGCACTTAACCCCCCCACCACCCGCACCCCCCCTGCCCGCACCCCTGCCTCCCCTGCCCGCATCACTGCCTCCCTGCTTGCCCCCGCCCACACTCCTGCCTCCCCCACCTGTACCCCTGCCCCCCTGCCCGCACCCTTACCCCCCGCCCGCACCCCTGCCCCCTGCCTGCACCTGACCTCTCCAGCCCATACCCCTGCCTCCCCCACCCACATCCCTGCCTCCCCACCTGCACCCTGACCACCTCTCCACATCACTGCCCACATCTCTTCTGCACCCCCTCCTGCTCACCCCTGCACCGCGCTCACACTCCTACCCAAGCCCTCACCCATCCCCCTCCTATGCCCCTGCTTGCTCCCTGCCTACCGCCTGCACCCCTGCTTGGCCCAGTGTGAGTCCCAGCTGCTATGGCCCGTTAGGACCCTGCCGCCCCCTGAGCCTCATTTCCCTCCACCCCCACCCCCAGTCGCTGCGGACCAGTAGCTACAACCACTTTGCGGCCATCTACTACCTCCTGCTCGAGCGGCTGAGGGAGCACCGCAGCCCCCCGCAGCAGCCCACCCCGCCGCGGCCCCGCAGCTCTGACCTCGCGGCTCTGGAGGTGAGCAGCGGCTCCTGCACTCCCACCCTCAGCCCCCCGGGTCGGGGGAAATGAGCCACCTGCCCTCCCCGCTGAACCTGCCCCTGTGCCCAGGTCCCCGCCGACGCCTTCCAGACCTCCCAGCTGGGCACACAGCCCCCCAACCCGGGCCAGTCTGCCCTGCAGGCCGAGGTGGACTGCGACCTACCCAGCTGTCTGCAGGTGAGGGCCGGCCCTGGGGCTGGGTGTGCGGGCCCGGGTGCAACCGGACCCCCCGCCTCACTTGCTCACTTGCTCCCTGCCTACTTCACAGCCATGGCTTCTGCCCGTGGACCCCAGCTGCAGCGGCGCGCTCTGGCCCCGGTCGGCGTCACCCAGCAGCCTGCTGGACACGGCCATCAGCGAGGAGGCACGGCCGGGCCGGGGCCTGCATGAGGAGCTGGAGCCCCTGGCCGGCGGCACTGGCCGCAGGCACACCCTGGCCGAGGTGTCTAGCTGCTTCTCCCCATGCAGCCCTCCCTGTGAGTGTCCCCTGCTGGCCTCTCGCGCCACCTCGCCCCCGGCCCAGGGCTGAGCTGGGGGCAGGGGTGGGCAGCGGGGGCAGGTCCTGGTGGGGTGGGGTCGGGGCAGGGTTGCCTGCAGCCTTCCTGAGTGAGCCCTCTCCCCACCAGGCATCATCGTCTCCACGTCTGTGCCCCCGGCCTCTGAGGGCACCAGCTCCGACAGCTGCGTCCCCTTCTCTGCTTGCAGCGCCCCGCAAGGGCTCGGTGGCCGCCTGGCCGCCCAGGGGCTGCTGGGCACCTGCTCCCCACTGCACCTGGCCTCACCCCTGCTGGGGGCGCAGTCGGCCACCCCGCTGCTGCAGCGTCAGGGGGCCCCAGCCGGGGCAGCTCTGCTGCCCGTCAGCTTCCAGGAGGGTCGCCGGGCCTCCGACACCTCGCTCACTCAAGGTGAGTGGCCCTCCGGGCCGCGGGGCTGTCCCTGGCCAGGATCCCCGGGGTGGACCGCAGGACCCTGGCCAACGGGCTGTGCTCTCAGGGCGCCATGCTGACGGTCAGGGTGGACCCCGGCCATGGTGACCCGATGCCCAGGCCCTGCTCCCTCCCTCTGTGTTCCCACGGGGGACGGGCAGCCAGGCTCAGGCTCTGTCTCTGTCCAGGCCTGAAAGCCTTCCGGCAGCAGCTCCGCAAGAACCCCAGGGCCAAGGGCCTCCTGGGCCTGAACAAGATCAAGGGGCTGGCCCGCCACGTGTGCCTGTCCGCCTCGTCCAGCCGGGCATCCAGGGCCGGCCTGGGCCCCCTGCAGCCGCTGTCCCCGAGCCCAGGCCTGCTGGAAGCCGTGCTCCAGCAGCAGAGGTATGCTCACATTGCCATCCCCACCACTACCCCCTCCTGCATGGGTGTGCATGTGCGTGTGTGTGGGTGGGCTGTGAAGGTCCATGCGTGGGTGCCATATCCAACCCAGGGGGAAGGCTGTCAGGGGATCAGGGTCGCGGGTGTCCCCTTCCCGATGGACAGATGTGGACGACCAGCCCAGCCTGACCCCTGCCTGTGGCTGTGTGTCCCCGCAGGCTGCTCCAGCTCCAGCATCACCCGACCTCCGCACCCAGCTGCCAGCAGAGCCCCCCGTCACCCCCCACAGCGCTGCCCAGCACCCTCCCCGCGCCCGGGCTCCCGGAGGAGCTGGGCCCGCGGCTGCCAGCCCCTCTGCTCCCAGCCGGGCTGTCCCCGGTGGTCTCGGCGGCGCAGCTCCTGGACGCCCACTTGCACATCGGCGGCCCGACCTCCTCAGCCCCGCCGGCCGCCGTGGCCCCCAGCTTTGAGCCGGTGGCGGGCCTACGGCCAGGGGACTGTGACATGGAGGCGCTGAGCCCCGGCCGGCGCGGCGCCTTCGTCCTGGTGCAGTGAGGCTGCCTGTGGGCGCCTCTCTCAGCAATAATCTCGCGGCCAAGCGCGGCTCGAGGCCACCAAGCAATACGCCCTGCCTGTCCCGCCCCTGCAGCTTTGGTTTTCCTTTCCTCACACTGAGCCGCTGCCCCAAGCCGGCCACAGACTCGCCGAGGGGGGACAAGGACGGGGTTGCCACCGGTCACTGCACACGGGCTCATCAGCCACCGGCCACTCCCTGGACTGACCCGTGTCCAGACCCAAGCTGCTTCTCCCAGCAGCTCTGAGCACCCTGGGGCGGGGGGGCTTCAGGGAGCCCCGAGGGGCAGGGCACACCCCCCCCCTCCTCATCTGCTGCTACTTCATGTCAGACCCAGGAAGCACCGCCGAGGGATGGGGTGGACGCCTGCTCCCCCGCTACACTCCCAGTGGACACGCTCGTTGGGGAGGAGACAGGGGCTCTGCCTCCAGTCCCTGTGGGCAGCCCCCAGCCCTCATTCAGGTGCCTTCAGCCCCCACCGGCTCCCGCCACTCACAGTGTTAGTCCCAGTGGCCAGAGCACGGGGCCAGGCAGCGCTGGCCAAAGCCAAAGACTGGGGGCTGGTATCCCCGGGCCCACCCGGGGCTGTGCCCAGGTCCTCGAGCTGTCAGGCCTGGCCAGCGGTGCCTGCTCCCAGGGGGCCGGGACCTGGGGGCCACCCCCAGGCCAGAGGCCAAAGGCCTCAGCACCACAGCAAGCACTTTAATCATGGCCCTTCCGAGCCTGCGCGGCCGTGCCCACGCGTCCCCAGGACGCCGCCCCCACCGGGCCCAGCCTGGGGTGGAGATACTTTTGTTGTGTTTGTTTGTTTTGTTTTTTTACCACAACCGAAGTAGTTATTTCTTCTGTTACCCTGAGAGGTGTGTGCTGGATGACTCATGGATGCCTGTTTTTTAATTTAATATTTAAATAAAATATTTGGGGACAAACCCCTGGCCTCCACCTGCTCTGACACCGCAGCCCCTCCCTGTCACACCATGTGGGCCCCCTGGGTCCTGGACCCTCGTCTGTTACGTCCCGCACAGCCCCGACTACCGCCAGCACCTGTCCTCTCTCCCCAGGGTACTCAAGAGCCCCCAGCTCCTGGGCCCAGTGGGACTGGTGTCCCTCATTCTAGGGACGGTGGCCACACTGGCATCAGCTCAGGACAGCTGAGGGCGTGTGGCCTGTCATCCACTGTAGGGTCAGCCCAGAAGGGCAAGTGCCCTGGGGGACAGGGCAGGCCACAGGCAGCACCCCTGGCCAGCACCCCAGGCCTCCACAGCTGGGTTCGCGCCCTGTGTGATGGCTGTGGGCAGTGTTGGCTGGGAAGGGGACCAGGCCCGCCTGGGTCCGCAGGCTGCAGTGGGAGCACAGACCAGCGTGGATGGTGTGACCACGCCCGCCTGGCTCAGGGCCAGGCAGAACCTGACCCCTGTAGAGGCTGTGCGGGGGGGCCGCAACATGGGGGCCCAGGTCCCTTCCAGAACGTTCCCAGTGACTGGCGCATGAGCCTGCCCTCCACTGTCCGGGGGAGTCTTAGAAGGATGTTCTCCAGCTTGGGACTGGGGCTGAGACCCTGTACCCACTGGGCGCCCTCAGCTTCCCCTGCAGTGGGAGTGGGCAGTGGGGCGAGGGTCTGATGCTCCACACAGCTGCTCTGGCACCCAAGTCTCCTGTGGGGTCGTGGCATGCCTCTGCCCCCCGGACCCTCCTGGGCAGAGCTGCCGGGGTTCTTGTGGTTCAGGGGTGGAGCAGAGGCTGCACACTGCCCCCGCCCCCCGCCCCCGTCCTCTGTGGCAGTGACCGGATCGTTTGGGTCTGTGCCTGGTGGAAGCTGGCCTTGGGGATACTCTCTTCTTCCTGGACAATGTCCACGTGGTGCTGACTGTGACCCCTTCTGTCCCTAACGCAGGCTCCTCCTCGGTGCTTTTCCTTAAGGAACCAGCACGAGGCTTGCCAGCGCAAGGCCCTGAGTCCCACCCCCAAAGCTGCCCATGTGCGCTGGGCGTGGTCCCTCCTGGGACATCCGTGGGGAGATGGTGCGAGGAGGGTCCCCGGGGTCAGCTGGTGCGGCCTCTCCTGGGGTCACAGCCCTTTTCCTGTGCCCCCCACAAGCAACTTCCCTCCCTGAGACGCGCCCCCTTCCGGAATGAGTGGGGTGTTCAGGCCAGTGCGAAGACGCTGATGGGCCGCATCCCTGCGGGGGTAATTAATGTTCCTGAAATAGGCCTGAGGCTGCAGGAGGCCATAGGCAGCAGCGCCAGAGGGTGGCTGCAGCCCCGGCACCAAGACACAGGGGAGCAGGACCCCACAAGCCCCAGCACCTCCATCTCCACAGAGCCAGCCCCTGACCAATCCGCCTGACTCGGGGCACCCGGGCTGACGCCTGAGCTGGCGGGGATGGGGCAGGGGCCTGATGGGGCGCTGGCAGGGTGGGAGCAGTGAGCCCGTGGGCCGGGACCTGGGTGGCTCGAACCTCCCTCCTTGGATGCCTGGGGCTCCTCAAGCTCAGACCCAGGAGCCTCATCCCCAAGGGAGGCTGAGAGGGGAAACTGAGGCCTCCCCGACTGACCTGGGGCTGGGTGCAGGCAGGCACTGCTGCAGGGGGTCTGCCCCACAGGGAGGGCAGGAGGCAGGGGTCCAACCCGACCACAGGAGGGGCGGGGGCGACCCACGAAGACCAGGCTGGGTGGATGGGGTGCGTTGAGCCCTAACAAAAGGGTTCCCATCCCGCACCTGTGCCTGGCTGCCAGGGCTAGGGCTGACCAGTGAGGGCCCGACGGATGTGTTGGGGTGACCGGGGTGACCGGGGTCAGCGAGGAGAGGGAGGACAGCCTTTCTGGGCAATGGTGGGGGTGCAACAAAGGCCCAGCTGGCAGCCCTAAGGGGCCTAGGACTGGTGTGGGCGTGGCCACACTGCCTCGTCCAATGGGTTGCCTAGGACTGGTGTGGGCGTGGCCACACTGCCTCGTCCAATGGGTTGCCTAGGACTGGTGTGGGCGTGGCCGCGTTGGCCTGTCCAGCAGTGGGGCTTGAGATGGGGCTTGGCCGGGGGCGTGACCAGTGGGCAGGAGCCTGAGGCTCTGTGCCCAAGGCCCTGGGGCAGCTACTGGGCCTATCCCTTCCCCTTTGGCGGGCAGGTGCCCCCCCCCCCCCCCCCCCCCCCCCCCCCCCCCGAAAGGGAAATGAAACTGGGAGAGGGAAGTGGTTTTGCCCAAGGCAGGCGGTGAGGACAGGACATCCAGGGGCATGGATGGGGCGGTGGCCTTGCAGACCCACTGCTGTGGGTGCAGGTGGCCCCGCTCCTGTCCCGTTTAGGGGCAGCCTGAGAGGTCTGCTCTGTGCGGGCAGAGGCCCGTGTGCCGGATCGGCTGGACGCAAGCTGGAGGGAAGACGGTGTCCCTATGGCAGGTGCTGGAGGGTGGAGTGGTGGCAAGGGGCAGAGACGGCACAGTGACCCCACCAGGTCAGGGGTGCAGAGGTCAGGGACACTTCCCAGGCTCGCCAGTCCCGCAGCCCGCTCCTCCTGCTCCCATGGGTGTACATCCTCAAGGGTCTTTTGTGAGAGATGGGGCGGGAATGGCACAGGTGTACACGCACAGACTCATGCACACTTGCACACACAGCCTGGGCACAGACACACACACACACAGCACACACGCAGCCCTGGGCACAGACCCACTTACTCACCAGCCCTGGGCACAGAAACACGTGCACACACAGCCTTGGGCACAGACACACTTGCACACCAGCCCTGGGCACGGACACGTGCACAAGCAGCCCAGGGCACAGCCCCACCTCCCCTCTGTCCCTCTCCTGGTCCCCTGTGCGGGTCCCTCCCCTGTGCGGCCGCAGAGGAGGAAGCTGAGGTCAGGGTGGTGACTCAGGGCTCCTGACTTGGGCACGGGGTTGTGGGCATCAGGCTGGGTGTGCCCGTGACTGAGAAGAACTCCTGGCACTGGGGCCGGGGCTGCGGGGCAGAAGCGGGTGTGGGGATGGTGTGCAGGCAGGCCTGGGCTGCAGGCGGGCAGGCCGCGGAGGCCTTTGTTTCTGAGTCAGTGTCTCAGGGGGTCATGGGGATGGGATGATCCTGGGGGTCCTGGGGCTGAGTCTGCCCTGAGCCTGGGCTGTGGGAAGGAGACTCCGAGGCCAGCACCTTCAAGGCCAAAAGCAGCTGGAGTAGATGCTCGGCCTGCCCGGGGCAGGGCCTCCCAGTAGTCATCACGTGGGCACCGCCCCCAGCCCATTCAGGGGCAGCTGGGGATCACTGTTGCTCAGGGGCTGCCCTGGGCCAGTGTGGGGGCCAGGGGTGGAGCCGGGAGTGCAATGGCTACTGTGCTGGACCTGCCAGGCAGGAAATGCTTCCGGGCTGAGTCCCAGAGAATCTGCCTCCTGCCTTCCTGCTCTTGTCCAGCGTTCTCAGGGTGCAGGATCCCTGGGGACAGCCAGGCCAAGGGGAATGTCCACTGCCTCCAAGAAGGCCTCTGCAGGGACGCCAGGCTCGACCCGAGGGACAGGTCCCAGAGCCCAGGCACGGGTACCCAAGGACCCATGTCCTGGGCATCTCCCTCCCAGGGAGTCGGGGCCACTTCCTGTGGGAGGCGGTGGGCCTTGCCGCCCTCCAGTAGGCCTCCACGCACACATGGGGTGCAAGGCATGTGCGTGTACATGAGCGTGTCCATGGAGCATGTGTGTGTTCATGTGAGTGTGTATATGTGGACATCCATGAATGTGTGCACATGTGTGTATGTCAATGTGCCTGTGTGACTGTTGTGCATCATGTATGGGTGCTTGTGTGACTGCACACATGTGAACCTACAGTACTTCCATATTTACATGTATAAATGTACATGCATTGTGCTTGCATCTGTGCACACACATGTCATTTGTGTGCACATGGTTAAGTGTTCTTGTTCATACACATGGGTGGACATGTGCACATATATGTACATGCATCTGTATCTCTGTATGCACATGTGTGTATGCACACATGTATATGTGCATATGTGTCTGCATGTGGCTGTGAGTGTCTGTGTGTCTGTTCAAACGAATGTGTGCACACACGTGTATATATGTATGCCCCTGAGCACACACAGCATGTACCCACTCTCCTCTGTCTCTGGAGACCCCAAAGAACAGGACTTCACCACTTCCTGCTACAGGCTCCCGGGACCAGCCCCCCATCCCCCGTCCCCCACCCCAGCCCATTACTCTGCTCTCAGACCCCCTTGAGGTCGATGCTGGTTTCCCCAACCTCTCTGTCCTGTCCCCTCGCGGCCACCATCAAGGGCAGGCCCCGGCCCGGCCACTGAGCCCCAAGACAGCAGCACCCCTGGGACTGGCCCTGGGTCACGTGCCACCTCTCAGGCCCCAAACCCAGACAGGCCCAGAGGGGCCCAGACCAGCCTGGGCTGCGCCTGGGACGGTGGCCGGTCCCCGGGCAGGGAGTGGGGGACACTGCCCACCTGAGCCTCCTGGCCTGTGTGTCCTGCCATGACAGAGGGCCAGGGTGGCGGTGCCCCCACCCGCAGCCAACGGGTTCAGCCCGCCCACCGCCCCGATCTCGGCAGGGACACTGCGCCCGGGAGCCGGAGCTGGGGACCCCGAACAGGCAGAGCCGGCCCGTTTCCTCCCGCCTGACCGCCAAGCGCGGCAGATGGCAGGAAGGATGGTGGGCGGCTCCAGGCGGGCAGCTGGGGGCCGCTCCTGTCCGCCCCGCGGCTCCAGATGGCGCCACTCCCACTCCCATCCGCTCTGAGGCAGCGCCCGCCTGCACCTGGCCCCCGCCCCAGGGATTCCCCGCCAGCGGGAGCCAGAGTGAGCTCAGAGCCCGTTGGAAGGCCGGGAAGCCCCTGGCAAGGCAGAGAGCAACGGGATGGCGGCCAGGAAGGACAGGCGCGTCAAACACGGAGACACGTGACACACACCACCTCATACAGGCGCACGCCTGAGGACACACATACAATATCTTG